AAGCATAACAGTACCATGACCATTCATGTGGTGTGATAAAGTTGACCTTCACAGTACCAGAACTGGGACAGCCTCTTCACCAGACAGTTTTTATGTTAAATATAAAAATGACTCATCTTTGAGGCTTATCCTCTTCCTGTGGAGGAAGCTCGGCCACAGACGTTCATTAAAATGGGTACTATCTTGCTCAAGTAGCGAATCTTTCAAAACATCAAAGGCAGAGAGCCAGCTCTCAAACCAGCAGGCCCTAGACGCTCATGTTTCAAAGCCCCTCTTCAGAAGAAAGTAAGGGCAAGCAGGACACCCAAAAGAATGCTTTCTCAGAGCTTGAATAGCACCATTGGCTTTGGAGAAAAGTGAAACAACAGAGCCAGGAGTGCAAGCTTGAAGCTGGAGTGCACGCGTCAGGACTGGCCACCTGAGTTGTCAGGAACTTGAGGGCCAACAGCTGATACAAGGGCAAAACCCACAGTAGCACAGTGAGCCTCGTTTGTCTGACAGGTAGTGACCCCTCAGGCCTTCATGAGGCACCATCAGGGGGAAAAGTGAGAATGTTCATGTAAGGGAAACATTCCTTGCTAAAGCTGTTGAGATGCTTTTAGGGGATAAAGGTGACAACAGCAAGCTAACAGAGGATTTCTTTTATCTAGCCTTTGGGAACCCTTTGACAAGAGATCAGACTAAATTTAGCCTTGAAGGATTTAAACACTATGCAGGCAAACAGCACACTTTGCAAGAACCCATGCTGAGATTGTAAATGAATATAAGAGAGAATACACCATGGAAGCCTTAAATCCAGAAATGTTAGCTAGCTCCTCTGAGTGAGGAAATTACCAAACTGAGAAGAAAGCACTTCAGATGCAGTGTGTGTGACAAACAAACAAAATGGTAAATGAGTTTTAGTGCAAAGGATTTTATTGCAGGAGACCATAAAGTGAAATCTAGAACAATACAAACATATGTACATTCATGAGTACCACATTTTCCAGCATGAACTGAGGAAAAGTTTGTGTGAAAGAAATTAACAGCTGCTGAGGAAATGAGCCTGAAGGCTCACATGACAAGGTAGACAACAGAGTTTTACTACAATATAGTTAGGAACTAGCTTTTGTTATTTTCTCTGTGCCTGGTATTCTGTTGTATGTTTTCTTCATATTGTGTCGGATTCTCCACACAACCCAAGTCAGGTGTCATCATCCTCATTTAGCTATAAAAAATTAAAGCTCAAGAAAAGGGATACATCCCCATTTTGGGGCCTCTGAAGTTGTTGAGCCAGGATTTGAATCCAGAGAAACTCTTTCGTAGTTTGTGCAGAGATCCTGACAGGAATAAATAGGGAGAGACAGATAAAGATACAAAGAGGGAAGAAAAAGGGGAGAGAAGAAGAAAGGGAAGGAAGGAGGAAGAAAGAAAAGGAAAGAAAGAAGGTAGGAAGGAAGGAAGGAAGGAAGGAAGGAAGGAAGGAAGGAAGGAAGGATGAAGGGAGGAAAGAAGGAAGATACTTTTATCAGTGTCTATTGACATTTCCAGGAGGTTCTCACACCAGCAGACAAACACACTTCTGCCTCAGAGATTCAAAAGGCCACAAAAGCTCTAGGAAATAACTTGAAACAGCCCCACCAAAGGGTAAGGAGGTTTCCACGATAGAAAGTTGAATAGTAAGAGAAATACAGCCCAAGCCTGTTGAGTATAAAGTACAGGAGGAATGCTTCCAGTTCTATGTACCTACTCTGTTCTGGGTTTGTTCTAGAACTTTCACAAAGTCCCTTCTGGAATCCTCATCAAGACCTCTTTTTATCATCCCTAGTCAACAGAGGAGAGTCTGAACCTTGGGGGGAGTCAACACACTTCCCCTCTGCTCCAAAATCAAGCATCCAGAAAGCAAAGGGCTAAATTTAAACTGGGAGGACTCTTTTACCTTAACAAGAATTGTAGCTAAGAAAATAAAATATTGTACTTGAGTATGTACTGTATTAGCACTTTGAAAAAATTACTGGATTTTTAAAAATGGGTTGCATCATCATTTATAAAAATTCATGCACCAGAGTGAGACCCTGAACACCCTGTAGACCCTTCCCTAAAATTAAAAGAAAAAATTCATGCAGCAGAGGCCCTTAAAAGGTTACTAAGTGAAGTGAGGGAACCCAAGTAGGTAGACATATATCCTTCTAACTTTAACTTCCCACAGGACAAAAATAAAACTTTGCCATGACCTTTCTTTTAGGACTTTTAATAGTAGAACAATAGATTTAGATCTACCTGCAATGATTGCAGAAATAGCCACAGGAAGCCATACCTGGCTCCTGTCCAGTTCTACCAATGACAGCAACAAGTGCCCGGACTGGTTAGTGGCCTCTCTGACTTCACTTGCTTTTCAGTGAGATCTTTCTATCCTGTTCTAGCTCATTATTCTGTGAGACACGGGAGGTTTACTTGTCTGTCTCTCACACCTCCCCTTCTTCAGCTCTTTTTTCAATGTGTTTTGATTGACAATTGAAATGATCAATGATATAGATATATATATAATGGTTAGGATAGATATACAGCTACTATCTCTGAGTTCATTGTGAAGAAAGGTGGGGTTATTTTGGTGTTTTTTTTTTTTTTTTTTTTTTTTGTGGTACTGGCGGTTGAACTCAGGACCTTGTGCTTGCCAGGCAAGCGCTTTTCCTTCTGAGCTGTCTCCACCACCCAGAAAGGTTTGTATTAATAGTGCTTAGACAAGATACCATCTCTTCATCTTGTCCTCTGAATAATTACTACAAAGACAACAATATACAGTGTATTCATTATTGTAACTGTCCTACTAACCTGTTTTGAAACTGTTTCATTGCTATTTTATCATTTTTTTCTCATTAAAATGAATAAAATTTTTTTAAAAATTAAAAAAGAAATGATCAATAACACTCTGCCACTCTTTTTATTTTTTTTTTAAATGTATGTGGTTGCTACAGGTCTCACTATGCAGCTAGGACTCATAGTGATCCTCCTGCTTTCAGCCTCCCCAGCACTGGGGTTACAGGCATGCAACACTATTCCCAGACTCTAGCCAGTTTAGCCCGCCCTGGGGGTGGGGCTGGTGCAGCACGTGGTGCTGGTTCTGGTACCACAGTCTCTGCACTTGCCTAAGTAGGTGCTTTAGTACGCTGAGCTATCTCACAGGCCCTCTGCCACCCTTAAGAGATGAAAAGAAAATGAATAAGGAGAGAGATGAGAGAAGGGTGGGGAACTGTGGCAGGCCCTGAGGCAGTTTCACAATGCCCAACTCCCCTCCCTTCCCAGCAGCAAAATCTCCCTCCCTCTCATCCGAACCTACAGCCAGCATGCAGCCAACAAGACACTCTAGCCAGACTTGTTAAATCATGCCCACACCGAAATAGTGAGAGCTCAGGAAGAGACAGGCAAGGATTCTGCCTCCCCAGATTTGCCCCACGATCCACCCACACTGCTTTTCCTCTGTTTCAAAGTTGCTCTCCTCAGATGCAACAAGAAGTCACAAAAGGTGACACTGACAAATAAAAACCCTCCCAAGTGAGCATTAGATAGCAAATACCAGGCTATTTGTCCTCTTCCGAATTCTTTCATCCAGTTTACCTGCTGTCCTTTCAACAGGCTAAACTGCTCTTGCGTTTATGGTATAACAGTGATAGACAAATTGCACTTCCAGTGTTGAGTGCAAGCTGATTCTAAGACAGCATTATTGTTGAGCTTAAAAAGAGATAGGGGATGAGAAGATGGCATTGCTGTCAACTGGAAGAGTCAATCCTCCTCCTCCATTGGCATGACCTCCAGTATCTTCCACCTCCTGTCTGCTCCATTCCAGAGTATTCTGGGAAGTATGGCAGATCTACTTGTCGTTCATGCTGTCCAAGGGTGGCCTGCAGTGAGTCGCCAGGTAATACTTAGAAATTGAGTTACGATGGCAAATTCGGAAGATGCTGATAGGCACCCTGAAAGCCAACTTGGGTGATACACAGCTCTTCTCATATGGACAGTATTTATTGATCGAAGTGTCAAGGATGGCTTAGTCCTGATGCGCATGTCCAGACCCCCTACAAAGCATTGCAGTCTGCTCCTGTGTGGGCATAGATCTGGGGCCGAGGTTTATGACTATCATATATCCAGACTGCTGGGTGGACTCTGGTGGCCCTTCCCGAATCTTCCATAAGCTAGGTTATGGAAAGTTCTGCGTTTGGTCTCAGCAATTCAGAGTCTGTGCCTAACTTTCTGTAAGCAGTTAAACCCTTCAGCACTCTGCATCACAGTTCCAACTTTCTTTTTCCTTTTTTTCTCTTCTGAGACAGGGTCTCACTGTGTATTTTGGGCTGGCTTTGAACTCATTTTGTAGCCCAGGCTGGCTTCAAAATCACAGAAACTGTCCTGCCCCAGCCACCCAAGTGCCAGGTTTTAGGTGTCTGCCACTACTCGGGGCCATGCAGCACCAACTTTAGTTTCCGCCTTAAGATGATGAAATTGTGTGTGATACCCAGAAGACCCTCATCTGCATCATATTTTAGTGATTCTGTGACATACACAAAAGGGGACGTGAGAGAGACACAGTCCGGGAGGGAGGAGGGTGGAAAAGCAGAGATATTCTTGGCGTGCCTCAGGGGAGGGACTTAGGCAGAGAATAGAAAGTCCAGGGCTTGTGGAGCCTGCTGAGCTAGGCTTGGCAACTGTGTGTGTGTAGGTGGGGATCAGGAGTGAGCCCTGCAGTGCGCACGGCTCCCATCAAGGCTTCTTGGGCAAGTGCAGGTTTAGAAGAGCCGCTATGCAGCCCCTAGTCCCAGAGATGAGAACCTGCACGGGTATCTTCCTGACCAAGTCATAAGCATTTCCCTCCCAGGCAGGGAATGGACCCAAACCATTGGTCTCCTCCGCAGCCAGCAGTAGGGGCTCCCTCGCTCTAACTTGCATTCATACCTGCAGGCACGATTCCCTTCCCAGCCACAGGGCCCACAGAGCTGCACTCCTCAGCGGGGCTCGCTTCCCCTTCTCTCCCGCAGGCACCTCCCCACAGGCCGTGCATGGACAGCGCCGCTAACGCCACCTCCCCCCGCGGCTTCCTCCTGCAAGGCTTCTTCGAGTTCCCGCATCTGAGGCCCGCGCTCTTCCTGCTGTTGCTGGCCGTGCACCTGACCACGCTCAGCGGGAACCTGCTCATCCTGGTGGCGGTGGCCTCGGTGCCTAGTCGGCCGCCCATGCTGCTCTTCCTGTGCCAGCTGTCGGTCATCGAGCTCTGCTACACCCTGGTGGTGGTGCCCCGCTCGCTAGCTGACCTGAGCATGCCGGGCACCGCTAGGGGCAGCCCCATTTCCTTTCTGGGCTGCGCGGTTCAGATGCAGATGTTCGTGGCTCTGGGTGGGGCCGAGTGCTTCCTGTTGGCCGCGATGGCCTACGACCGATACGTGGCCATCTGCCACCCTCTGCGCTACGCGGCCGTGGTGACCCCGGGGCTGTGCGCACGGCTGGCCCTGGCCTGCTGTGTGGGCGGCCTGGCGGTGTCGCTGGGGCTCACAGCGGCTGTGTTCCACCTGCCCTTCTGCGGCTCCCGCCTGCTGGTGCACTTCTTCTGCGACATCACCGCGTTGCTGCATCTGGCCTGCACCCGGAGCTACGCGGAGGAGCTGCCGCTGCTGGGCGCCTGCCTGGTGCTGCTGCTGCTGCCCTCGTCGCTCATCCTGGCCTCCTATGGGGCCATAGCTTCTGCCCTGCGCCGTCTGCGCTGTGCTGGGGGCCGTCGCAAGGCCGCGTCCACCTGCACCTCGCACCTGGTGGTCACCTTCCTGCACTACGGCTGCGCCACCTTCATGTACGTGCGGCCCAAGTCCACCTACTCTCCGAGGCTGGACCGCACCTTGGCGCTGGTCTACACCAACGTCACGCCGCTGCTCTACCCGCTCATCTACAGCCTGCGCAACCGCGAGATCACCTCTGCCATCTTCAGGGTGCTGGGGCGCTTGAGGCCGGCCCAAGCCAGAGGCCACGCGAGGGCCGAGTGAGCCCTGCGAGCGGGAAGGGATGGGCCAGGACGGACAGGTGTCCTACCGCCAGGGCTTCTGCGTCAGGAAAACCACGTGGCGGAAAGAGAGCTACAAGGCGGCCTGGGCCTCTTCCCTCCCTAGCGGAATGACCACCGCCAAGCAGTAGGGCCCTAGATCTAGATTTAGCGGTTCCATAAATACCTCAGGAGCTTCCCCAGATCCTGCTAAGCTTTGGGGGCCCCAAAGAAAGACTCTAGGGCGTAGCCGGAGACCGTAGGGGTCCAGCAGGTGGAGAGAAGGGTGACCAGAGTTCCCCACTGACGGCTTATCAGCCGTTGGCGTATTAGGAAGGCCCGCAGAAACCGCCGGAGGATCCGAACCCAAGGCTTGCTGTGAAGTCTTGTCTTCCCCTCTGTCCTTTCCTTCACTTCTCCTGGTTCAGCTGCCTCAATTGCGAAATAAAGGACAAGGGTCCGTGATCGCTATGGTTTCTTCCGTCTCTCCGAGCCTTTAAAACGGGGAGCGCAAAGATACCAACGAGCCATTGGAAAAGGAGCGAAAGGTAGTAAATGCGAGAAACTTGGCGTGGGCGGAGTGTATGTGGAGCAACAAACGTGGAACCCAAGCGGCGTTCCGGAAGGCTGCATGGGGCAGGCAGGCTGGGTCGTCTGCAGTGACATCTGGGCCGTCTGATGGACTTCTTGATCCAAAACATCTGTGAATCTGCTGACAGTCCTGACTCTGGGAACGCTAGAGAGGCAGGGTTCATATCTTCCTAGAATCCCTCTCACTTTCCTAGGACGTTAGAGATGGTTGGTAGAGGTCATGGGCATACAGACTTGCAGTTAGAACGATCACTGGTTATCTCAGAGTAACTGCAGTCATAAATCTAATGCAAGATAACCTGGGATTGAATCTCAGCAGGGAGCTTCACCTGGCACGCTTCGGCTCTCTCCCGGTTTCATCGAGAAGAGCAGGATGCTAAAATTAGACAGTAGGAAGATGTCTGGACAGTAATGGTGGAGAGCCCAGTGGAGAGGAGAGAGAGAGGAGCTGTGGCAGACAAGTGCGGGTTGGTCTGGGCTGTGGAAGGCGAGGCAGGGACCAGGCGGGGTCGGGGGAGACGAGCCACCGCGGGGCAGCAGCCATTTGGAAGAGTGCGCTTCACCTTTAATCTTAAAGCTTGTCCCAGTCAGTGTCAGGGTAACTAAACATTTGCATCTAAAGATGCCAACAATTTTTAGAAGCCTTGGAAATGAACATAGGAACACAGCTTGTCTCAGAAGGAGGACAGGTGTTCTAGACACAAAGAAAAAAGGGCGGCAGAAAAAAAAGAAAAATCTAGGAGATTCCGGAGATTTTGTTGCTGATAAACTTAATTCTATGTTCATTGAAAAGCGTATGGCAAGGGTGAGGTCCTGAGTTCAACCCCTGGTACCAAAAAATAAAAGTGTATTTAATGTTTAATGTGGTACGTGTATACACAAACATACATATACATATACACATATGCATATAATTTAGAAGCAAGTGTCAAAATAGAAATGTGTAATGGCAATAAATGTGACATTATGAAATGGCTAATATACTTTTTACCAAAACAAAAACTAAGAAAATGAATGTTACAATTTTTAAAATGGTCAGGAGAGGTGAACGGACAATTCACAGCACAAACTTTACAAAATATTTTGCCTGGAGTTAAATGTCACTCATAGCCTTTCAAAAATCAGGCAATAAGCCAGAACATCCTGGGGTATGAGTCAGTCTTCAAAGATCTCTGTTTCTCCTCTATAATTTCACTTATTGAGATTTATCCTGAGAAAATAATCAGAGATGTGAGGTTTCATAAGGGACAATACCCACAGTATTTTTAGAGTAACAAAATTTTCAGAGCAATGTATGGGTCTCATATTGTAATGATGATTAAATAAATATAGTAGAATACTTAAAATGTGTGCAAAAAGAGGTTTTGATGCTTTATTGTGACTTGAGAAAATATTTACGTGATAATACCGAGTAAAATTTTCACATGGTAGAAAGAATGACCCCGAAGCATGTACACGTATGTATATACACACGTCAACATATAAAAGACTGATTGGAAAAAAATAATGATTTCTCCATCTATAGAATAAAATTGTGGATTTTAAATTTTCCATTTTAGAAATTTCTCATAATTGTTTTCACTGTATCATATTTTTACATATTAAAAATATTTTTTAAAACAATATTGGCATTCTGTCAGTGAATCCTACTGCTTCAGGACAAAGCCCGATCTGTGAGCCCCTGAAAGCTACCTCCTGACCAACAGCCCTGAGGTAACAGAAAGGAGCCAGGGCCGGCGCTGCAGGGGTGGCCCCGGGGCTGGATCTGCAGCTTAGTTTGTGTGGCATAAGGAGAATTGCTGCAGGGTTTCGCTCCCCCAGCAGCCTGAAGGAAACATGACCGCCCTACTGAAAACAGAAGACATTAGGAAGAAGAAGTGCAATCCACACTGCCTTGTGAAAGTCCACACAGCAGAAATCCTCTCCAGGTGGTGTGGGGCTGGGGAGATGGCTCAGTGGAATAAGTGCTTCCCTGGCAAGTGCAAAACCCTGAGTTCAATCCCTGGTTCCGCCAAAATAAATAAATAAACTAACTAACTAACAAAACCTAAGTACAAGTATAGATTATGCTAGGGGAAGACCACAGCTTGTTCATTCAGCTACAAATACCATAACTAGATATTTCTGGAGGCCAGGCAAAAACCTAGACTGAGGATTCAACAGCCTCAGGAAGTCACTGTACTTCAAGAACTTATCCCAGAATAAAAATTGGGCCTTATTCTTGAAGTCTGAAATCTAGGAGATTCAGGCAAATAAACAGACAACTGAATTGTGTAATAAATACTTCGATGGAAAAATACATGATCGTCAGGAAAACTAGCTACATCTGGGATGCTAGAAGCTTGCATATTATAAGCAAGCACTGCGTAAGATCTATAGCTAAGTACAATAGTCAGGACCAGACAGAAAGCTGCACAGAGAGAGACCAAGAGAGGGAACAGTACTACAAAGCCTCGAAGCAAATGAGGCCATGGTGCATTCTAGAAAGCACTCAGTGATGGCAGCACCAAGGCAGCGAGGAGAAAGATGCAATGTGTGTGTATTATGAGTTTACACTATACTTTCAAACAGGGAAAACATTCATGCAGGCCTGAACTGGATGCAAGGTAAGTTTTGGTGCTGGGAAGGTCAGACTGGGCTCACTAGGCTGAAGAGCAGGGAAAGTAGCAACTTGAGGGAGGGCAGATGGAGATGATGAGCTTTATACTGACCCTGTTGGCCAGCGGGGCACACACCATACTGTGTGCCACAGAAGCTAGGCCACAGAAGCACACTGAGAAGTCTCCAGTGTATTGGTGGTAGCTGGCAGGGCTGAGCTCCTAGCGGGGCCCAGTACAGCCAGAAGAGGGGATGCAAGATAGGATTCGAGGGACCCTAACACTAAAGGCTGAGCTGACTGGACTGAGTGTGGCACAAAATGTGAAATTAACTCATTATTAAGACCACAAAACTTTCTGTACAACTATCTGGGAAGCGAGCCCTCAACAGGCACGGAGTCCTTAGAGGACATTTCAATCCAAACCATAAGCAGACATTCGCGAGGCTTCTCATAAATCCTTAACTAAGAAAAGCAAAACGAAGGAAAGGCAAACCGAGAAAACGGGCTGAGGATATTGGCACAGTAGCCACAGAAAAGGAAATCCAAAGGCATTTTCACCTAGAAAAGAATTTCAAATGCAGAATAAAATTTGGCATTAGTGTCGGAGTTCATCGATCTAACAGCACTCTGAAGACAAGCAGCCCAGGCCCAGAAGGGTGAATCGGCAACTTTAGCACATCGTGGCTTGGAGTATACATTTTTACAACTGCAATAAATTAAAAGTAGATGGGATTGTTACACTTGATGGCATATCACTCTGTTTCAGAAAGTTTGAGCCCGCAAATTTATTTGTGTTGTAGGGGGGGGGAATGAATACCACAATTCTTTTGCAATAGAATACCTGAGCTTATCTAACTGTAACTTTGTACCTGTTGGCAATCTCTTTCCATCCCCAGTATAGGATGGACTAAATTTTGTTTTGGCTCTATGTTGAGACCATATACAGGCCCCAAAATGAATGGGACAGTTATATCTGGGGTAGGTATCCAACGAGGTGTTTTATGAATTATACAATGGAAAAAGCAAAGTGTTTGATAGTGTTGAGAGCTGCAGAAGGTGGAAAATTGGTCACATGTGTGAAAGCGGGATGAGGTCTCAGTGTCTCTACCTCAGTCCTGAGAAGCATCCTGACTGGTTAAACGTAGGCTATTAGTCACTAGGCAACCTTGCATCTTTACTGTTACTGACTTTGCAAAGGTATAAATAAACATCCATTGTTACTCAAGGGGTCATCTCACGAACCAGGCAGACAAGTCACTACCCAACCCAGCTCTTGTCTTCTTGTCTGTCTTTTCCTCATTTCTGCTGCCGTTTCTCCTCAGGTACAACGGATCATAGTGAGAGACCCATGGAACCCAACATGAGAGTATTAAGCAGTTATCTTCTAACCCAGTCTTATTTTAACACATGGTGGCATTATAGCCTTTGCCTGCTCTCTGGAATGCCTTTTCGCCAGGCTGTCTCCTGCTTCTTCGAGGGTCTCTCAACTCAAACATTGATGCCACAAGGGATCCAAATATGGACTCCTGTGCTAGAGGAGCACAGCTCATTCACTGCTCACTCGCAGTCGCATGCATTCATATCCAACTGTCTTTCATTATTGGAAGTTGCCTTATTTATTTACTTTTTAGTTGCTCATTCTACTCAAGATAAATTCTTTTGAAAGGCTGCCTGCTCTATTTACCATGGCATTCCCAGCCCCTAAATGGTGTCTACCTTGGTGTCTCAGTTACTCTTCTCAGGCAAAATCTCTGGACCCAAGCAAAATTCATACACACTTTCTGTCAAGCCATAACAGAAATCATCCAGAGTCCAACAACCAACACAGTCCTTCTTCCCAGAAGCAACCTCTCCAGCCTGGTCTTCACAGGCAGGATTTCTACCAGCCCTCTGGTCTTCTGAGATCTGACTAGAATTTCCCATACAGAACAGCTGAAGCTGTTTCAGTGCTTCTCTTATAGGCGACATCTCCAAACCTTTCCTGTCTCTTCCCATGCACCATTCCCAAAAGCCCATAATTCACATGGTCATGTTTAGCCATAGCAACAACCCCACTCCCAGTACCAAATTCTGTTTCAGTTACTATTCTTTCATTGCTGAGACAAATACCTGACACTCAAAATGAATGAAGGAAAGGCTTATTTAGCTCACAGTTACTGGAGGTTTCAGCCCATACTCAGCTGGCTCCAAGGCAAAGTGGCACACTGCAGACAGCAGCCTTTCATGGCAGTGGCAAAGAGGAAGAGCAAAATGGCAGAAGCAGTGGCAACAATGACAACAGAGAACAAGTCTGTCTCCCTTATGTTGCATTCAGGCTGTCTGCCCCAGGCTGGCTGCAGTACTCACACCCATAATCCCAGTAGATTGTGAGTTGACCAGAAACTCTCTAAGTCCACCCCATGACTGCATGAGGCTTTGTGGGGACAACCAGACACAAACCATATCTTCTAGAGTAGCTGCTCAATAAATTGCTGAATGAAGGAGTGAATGAATCATGTTTATGACATACTACGATTTACATACAAAATGCACAGTGTGTGTGTGTGTGTGTGTGTGTGTGTGTGTGCTCTGTATGTTGTCTATGTGTGCACACACACTTCTGCCAAAGTGAAATCTAGGGCTAGATGATAAAGATCAGAGAAACTCATAGTTCTCATTCAGTATCTTCTTTCTATACATATATGCATTAGTCATCGAGTAAATGTTTTTCAAGGGAAAAATACAGAACAGGTGGAGGAAAATGAGTGTGCAGCAGGCTTTGAAAAAGAGCAATCAGAAAAGTAGAAGAGAATCCAAGAAGTTGTGGTGCTGTGGAAAGGAAGAGAAGAGCACCTCAAGGGTGGAATGACCAACAATGCTGAACAGTGCTACCATTTCTAGAGGACTGAGCCTAGAGGTGGCTCTGGAGATAAGTAACATAAACCCAAGTCACGGAATTTGCCCCACTGACCTCAGCAAGGCATGTGCCAAGTGGGGTCTGGTGGCCAAATAAATTTCACCTCCCCAGGTACTGTCGAGCCAGAAGTCACACAGTGACTGCCAACCACACCCAGGACTGGGCTCTGAAGAACAAGCACAGTAACAGGATGCAACACTGGCTTTGGTTCTAAATCCTGATACATTTTACACTGTTTCATGATCTGTACCTACTATGGAAGGTCACAAATACAGAAACAACTGATCTCACAAGAAGCTTATTACCCATAGTTCTCAAGAAAATGGAACGTGCCAAGCCAAGCAGGGCATAGGATGAGGCAGATGCACAAACAGAAAGCAGAAGGAGTGAAGGAAAACACACCCTGGCCCTGAGTAGATACTCCAAGTGAGAGGCAAGCTGGGGTAGGAAGCTTGAGCACGTTTAGGACTGGGAAGCTGGAAAACTATCAGAGGGCTATGGGGTATGGAATGGCCCCGGCTGTCCAGCACCTTGGCCTGGGGCAGTTTAGGATGTGGGAAATGTTGGGCTTGGTGTGTAAAGTTTAGAAAAAAGAAGTGCTTGGAGATACAGACTCTGGATTGGTGGGTGTTTGTTTTATGCCTAGATGTGAACCCCGAAGTTTCATGTGCTCCTAGGTGGGGCTTAACAGAGATTATTGGATTTGGGGGTGTCACGCTCTTCAGTAGATTAGCTCACTACGGACTTGAACCTCTATCAACTGTGAGAGGAGACAGTTCTCCTTGAGTTGTGGGTGTCAGCTACGTGTCTGCACAGTGAGAAAGCAACTGAGATTGTTGGTTTTGCATAGTAATGGCGCACTCACCAAAGAATCATTTGTTAACTCTAGAAGCAGCTAACTCTAGGAGGTGCAGTCTTTCTCAGGCCAGCAAAGGCCCCAAGATGTTGAAGCATCATAAAGTACTGAAATAAAACACATAACTAATCTAAAGACAGAACCTGTAAATAACATCTCCGACAGTATATGCGGAATAAAAAAAATCTATCTTTGCCCTTCAGCTGGACTATGAGTAACTCCAGATGTCTCTGTCTAGAACTGACCCACATCAGTGCCTCCCACATCCTCCCCTACCACAGCCTCTGCCTTTGCAGGCCTCTTTTTCTCTCTCTCCTCCCCTGCACCTACAGCTCCAGGGCTCATTCTTCCATGTGCCCATCTGTCAGCCTCACCAAACCCTTTAACTTCTATTTATAAACAAGCTCTCCAGATTTAACTGTTTGATTACTTTAACCAATATTCTCAACTTTATTGTCACTGTGCTCTACATATTCAGTTTTCAAACATTCATCCTGTTCTCTAACCCCTCTGGCACAAATCTGTGGGTACTTAGTGTTGCCGAAGAAAAATCTCGCTCCCTTTGTTACTAATGCCAAGAATTATGAGCTCCTAGCTCAGCTGGGCTTTACCCTGAGCTCCACAACATTGCTGCATAAGTTACTGTACACTGGTATCACACAGAGATTAAATTCTAGTGTCTGAGTCCTGAGAGACTCTGATTTCCTTTGTCTTGGTGTAGGTAAAACTGACCAGAGCATAGCTTCCTCCACTGGAACCCAGCCTCCCCTTGGGGACAGCCCTGCATTCAGCCCCCAACCCCCGACTCTCCCTACTCCCACCCTCTACAGCCCTTTGCCTACCACAGTCTGCTTCCAGGACACAGGGGCTGATGGGAGCTCTGAAGCTTTCAACACATAATGCGAAGGCCGAGGGACAACTTCACCCAGTGGAATTTCTAAAACATTGCTTCCAGAATACCTAGCGCAGCCCAGCAAGTGCGGCATGCAACACTTCAGGTTTGATGCAGAGAATGTTAGAACAGCTTGTATTTTGCAAAAGAGAAAAATGTAAAGAAAGGTTGAGTTTACAAGGCAAAACCAGATACAAGTAAATGAGTGGGGAAATAATAATCAGTTTCTGTTCTTAGCACTGCGCGTGCCTCTCTTCTAAAGTTTCTAAAGTATGTTAACACAAAGATACTTAACATTCCTAAAGCACGAGCTGGGAACTGAACATTGTGTTAAATACACAACAAAGATCATCTACTGTAACTTCACAATAGCCCCATGAGGGAAACATTATCATCTGCCTATTTTTCCTGAAAAAAAAACTAAGGCAATAGACTTGTTTGTTCATTGTAGGAAATGCACAAATGTGGAGTTATTATTCAGACGTGGGGGTTCAAAATTCAAAACCTACCCTTTGAGCCACCAGGGGGTCATGATCTAAGTAATACAACCTTTGCTGCCCAGAGAACATAAGAGACCAGAAATATTTAAGGATCTTGGGGAAATGTCCCCTCAGGGATGGAGATCCTTGTCTGCAGACCATCAGATCTGAAGTCTATCGTGTTTTGACAACCAAAGGCAACGGACTAATTAAACAGGCTGGGCTCAGGAACTGTTAACAGAACACAACTGTAGCACTTTTAACCCACATACTCTGCAGTCTGCACTATGAGGTAGCTCTTCTAACTTTGGACTAATTCTATAGCATGTCTCACGAAGTCTTGTTCCTTCCTGAAAAAATAGAAGTTTCTAGTCACTTTCAGTCCCCAAAGTGTTCCCATTGAAGTCTCCAAAAGATGCAGTCCCAGGTCAAATCAAAACTCCAACCTCACACAGGATAAAGCCTCTTCTTGTCCCAATGCAGATATTTAAACTGGGGAGGGTTGGCTTTTCTTCACCCCTCTCTAATTCTTCTTCCTCCCCTCCCTCCCCACCAGACCCTCCTTAGACAGCCACTAAGGCTTCTTGGGCTGAGGAAAGCAAAAAGTCTTTGTGGACAATGTAAGAGCAGATTCCCAAGGTTGGCCCTTCACACCATCATAGCTTCCTTGGAGGAAATTCAAGTGGACCCACTGCAGCACCCTTGAAAAGGTCAACCTCTGCACCCATCTTCAATTCTCCAGTCACCTTCCTCTCCTAGCCACACAAAATTCCTCCCTCAAGTCCTACATATCTCAGGGTCCATCTCCTTGGGGTCATAGTTTCCCTTCAAGGACTCTTATGAGGAAATCACAATGAAGCCTGGCTCACATTCCTAGAGCCACATCCGGTCTGCCACAGCCTGTGAGCATCTAAGTTGTGCCCTGAGGAGAAATGCCAGTTCCTAGGAAGCTTCTTCTGACTCTCTAGCCCCTCTGACTTCTCCTCTTCCTGTTTTTTGGGGATTCCAAGGCTCAAAGCCTTCAAAAGAATTAGTGGCTTAATGGGAAGGAGAAACCCATCTGTCCTTCATATGTGGAAGCAAGGGAGAAGGAACACCAAAAGATACCAAAGGATCCTCTCCAATTTCTGTTCCCCACCTTTGCAGTTTCATGTTGAGGTGGGGGGTGGCAGTAGAGTTACCAATTGGTTTTGGAAGCTGTCTCTGAAAAAACTACTTGAGTAAGCAAATATTTCACTTTGGGCTGTGTGGGTACAGGACATCGATCTGGTTGGTCTTATGCAAAGACAAAACTGAGAAAGGATCGATGTTAATATCCCATTATACAAGTGGCAGACTCCTTGGATAAACAGGAGGAAGTTTTCAGACCTGAGTGTCTCCTGACTTCCAGGGACAGACACTGAAGTAGCTGCCAAGGCATAAAATGGCCCTGGAAGGTAAGGGATCGATAAAGCATTGGACTGTTGTGAGTAGTGTCCCTGAATCAGCCCAGTGTGGGGCCAAGAGAGGCAAGAGACTGAGCACAGAGGAGAGAGATGCTGCTCAGAACTCAGCCAGCAAGCGGCTTCCCTTGATGGAACTCAACACCAGTCAAGTGATCACCAACTCCGAGGAAAGGTAGAATTTTTCATTCGTATTACCTGGGGTGGCAGCTGAGGGTGAGGTGATGCCAAGTGGGGTTCATGGACGGAGGGATGGAGACAAAGGTGAAGAGGAGGCCAGACTCAGAGGATGAGGCCAGGTAGAGAAACAAAGTGGGAGCATTGTGAATAGCAAATTAACACAGAGGAATAAAGGAAGGTTGAGGAATAAATAATTAGAATCAGTCTGTTTCCCATTTCTGCTGTAACAAGTTACCATAAATGTGGAGACAATGAAAGGTCTCGCTTATGGCTCTGAACGTTGAAAGTCCATAATCAGTTTTAGTGAGATGAGGTCAAAGATTTGGGGGCTTATCCACTCGAGGTTTTGATGAACTGGTTTTTTTTTTGTTAGCTTTTATTAGTCCCCAAGATTGTGACCCACCCCCTGAGTCATTCTAACCTTTTGCTTCTGTCACATCTTTCTCATCTTCCTGTCTCCCGCCAGTAAGGACCCTGTGATCACATAGGGCTCACCTACACAATTCAAGATAATTCCCCCAATGCAAAAATCTTAGTCACGTCTGCAAGATCTCCTTTGTCATATTATGTAATACAGTCACGGATGCTGAGGAGTAAGAAATGGACATACATCAGGGTCATTACTCAATCCATCTAGGATCCAAAGTGCTAGGGCAAAATTGAGGCAAATCACCCTGCAGGCTCAAGAGACAAAAGTTAAATCAAGTTTCTCATCAAAAGGTGTCTTAGTTATTCTTCTCTCATTGCGAGGACAGATACCCAACATTCAAAATTAGGAAAGTAACGGTTTATTTAGTTTTATCTAGTTTATTTAAAAGGTTTACTGGAGGTTTCAGTCCACACTCAGCTGGTTCGAAGGCAGAGCGGCACATGGCAGAGAGCAATCTTTTGTGGCTGTGGCAAGGAGCAGAGAAAAAAAGGAGTGGCAGCAGGCAGATGCAGCATCCACACCCACAATAATCAACCACAAACTCCAGAAGCCACCCCATGGTGGCATGAGGCTTTGGGGGGCAAGCTAGACACAAACCATGACAAAAGTTCAGACAGGAAATTATGTATGAGTCTAAAGAAGCACCCAGACAGAGTTTTCTCTGCTCCTTTTGGTACTGAAGTGTCATTTTGTTTAGCTGGAGCATGGAAATGATCCCAATGGTAGACAGCTACTGCTTGCATGTCTCTTACCTCATGCACAGAATTTCAGTTCATCCATGAATAAAGAGACTCCAAGACCCTACTATGTGGTGAGACAATCACACAGTTTGACATCTGAGGTGTCTTGGTTTCCATCTTGGCTGGCTCTTCATCAGCTGTCCAGCTCAGGCCAAGTTTCTGCTTACCTCATTTGAAATTCAGTTATTCTTAATTGCACAGGCTAAGGTCTCTTCCTTAGATCACAGCACACAGCCCATCCTCACTTTAGGTCCAAGCCCATACCAGTCAGGGGAATTCAGAGGAGTCTTTCAAAAGGAACCAGAAGGCACGCTTTACATGCCTTCTGCTGGGTGATCACAACCTGACTGTCTTAGAGATGCCATCTGACCTGTCCTGGCTGAATCCCTTCATTTTTCTCCTCTGCTCCTATGGATCCAGACCCAGGGCACTGCATCTGTGGTGAACAGAATGGAACAGAGTAACTGGAAACTGAAGCCAAAGGCTAAGAGGTACCTGAATGCTAAATCACGGTCAGAATGCATGTGGAGGAGATGAATGAATGTTAAGAGCTGACAGACTCTCCCTGGGCAGAATTTCCTCCATGGGCTAAGGAGACTGGTGGCCAAACACTGTTGAAAATGAAGGCCCAATATCTCCACTCATGACAGGGTGAGAGCCAAATAGAAGAGAGATCAGACTCCAACTCCCTGTGCCAGATAGACACTGAATAGAGACCAGGAGGTAGAGCATGGATGACCCTTTGGGGACTGTACATCAGCATATGTTTGTTGTTCTTAATCCCAAGTTTCTGAGATCCTGAGAAACGTATATCCAAACTCATGACCTTTGCATCTGAGCACTAAGACTTGGCCAAGGAGGGTAAGGTCCTCAGTATGTGATACAGGGCAGTGGTGGCTCATCTATAGCATGTGTACCACAGTAGACTGTCATCAAGGAAAGCTCTAACAGGTTCTCCACCCTTGATAAGGGGAATCCTTTAAGTGCTCCTGCTCTGGTCCTGGTTGGGGGAAGAATAAAGGCAGCATGAAGAGAAGCATATAACCAAGTCTGTGTGTCCTTCCTGGTCACAGGGCAAAGTCCCAGGAGTGGAAGGTGTGGAAAGCTCAATGTAGAAGTGTTTCTCACATCCTTCTCTGGAGCTCTGGATGGAGACTATGGGCCAGGGAAATTCAGAAACATAAAAGGGGCTGGGGAGCAATGGAGACTTAGCTTTCTATGGTTGTGAGACAATACTTGAAATAGGTGAGCTAAGGAAAGGAAGATTTATTTTGGCTCTTTTAGAGGTTTTGGTCTGTGATCACTTGGCTTTATTGATGCAGGACCATGGCAAGGCAGATTATCAGAGTGGGGAACTGATAGGAGAGCAGAGTTTCCCACCTGGTGGAGGATGGGAAGCAGAAAGAAAAAAAGAAGGGACCAGGGAGAATATATGGCCTTCAGGTGAACACCCAAGTGCCGGCTTCACTCGAGCAAGCCCCACTTCCCAGTTCCTACTGCTTCCCAGTTACCTGTTAAATTACAAATCTATCGATGGATAAATTCACTCAGAAGGTTGACGCCTCGTGATCCATCCACCTTCCGAAGGCCCCAGGGGTGCACGGGGGATCAAGCCTTCTACACATGAGCATTTGGCGGCATTCAGACCCAGACCACAGGGGTAGAGAAGCAGCAGTGGAGGAAGTGTCAGGATGTCCTCCTGAGACCTGTTCCTGGTTTTCAATAGGTGCTGTGTGCCCCACATGCCTCATGGGAGATGTAGGACACTTGGATTCAGTTCGGGGAAGGAGGGAGGGAGAGAGAGAGTGAGACCATTTGGAAAAATCATAGAAATCCAAAACAAACAGTCCTCCACCACAGACTTCCACAGTGGACATCATAGGCTGCATCCACATTAATCTTCTGTATCTCATTGAAATCCTATGACAGGAAGGTGAGACTCATTGCCTGGCTGCCGAGACCGGCAAGAGGGCTATGAAGCAAGAGTAATCCCACACCCTCCACCCAAGTCCCATAAATTAATCTGATCTGTCAACTTCTACTATCAGGTTGAGAAAGGAGGACAAGAAACAATAAACTATTCTGACACATGGCTTGACTTCAAATTAATAGAATATTTGCCTGGGGAGATTATGTTGAGATTAACTCTTTAAAGTATAGGGTACTGAGATGCTTTTAATTAGCAAATTATGCAGCTCGTTCTGTTCCATCCCTTTCTAAACTACCCATGGCAACTGAAAAAGATAATATAGGAGAAAACAAAGAAGCTACATTGTCATGGAACATCAACAAAGAATATTTAAACCTTTTTACTTAGCCAAGTTGATCTTTTATTTTATTTTATTTTATTTTTTTAGGTTTTCGTTTTATTAAAAATTTAGGTAAAATAGACACAAACTTACCATTGTACCAATTTTAAAGATGCAGTCCAACTTTATATTCATATTATATTTCAACTGTTATCTATCCCAAAACTGTTTTGTTATCCTATGCTGCAACTATATCTATAAAATATTTTATATAGATATATTTGTGTTGGGTTTTTTTGTTTTGGTTTAGTTTTTTTGGAGTTTTTTCATTACTTATTTGTTCTGAATATTATGTTATATACTACATACAATTTTTCATTTGGTGACTAATTGATTTAACGAACTAATCACAGGAACATATCACAATTGATAAATGAAGAATTTCTGTATATATTTTAAATCCATCGACTATATAATGGAAATTTTTTTTTGTTTTCTTTTTTTTTTCAAAGTTTTATTGATAAACAGATAGCAATGAGACAGTTTCAAATCAAATCGGAAGTACAGTTTCAACAAATAATACATTGCATATATTCTTCTTAGTGGTTAATTGCTGTACAAGATGCGGACTTGTGATCCTATTTACAAACACCATTAGAACAAATCTTGAAGAGGCACTGCGGAGCAGCTGGGGGTGGGGCCATGAGGCATGAGCTCCGCAGGAGCATGTAATTGCCCTCGGGAGATTCCTGGGCTCCTAACCATCCTCAGCCAAGACTGGCAAATAGGGCCTCCACCTAGGAAGTGACAGTGAACCAGCCCGAGCAGCTTCCTAGGCAGTCGGCTGCCTCCTGGCCAAAATGGGTCCTGAGCAGGAGGTGAGCACAAAGCCCTGGTGAGTGCCCCGAAGAAAGAGCTGAGAGAGGTGAGAGGAAGCAGCTTGGTCTTTTGGGTGAGGCCAGGGCTGCCCTTGGCCCCTCTGGTGTGATACTGGCAGTGTCAGAAGCTGCTTGGACTCCTTCTATGGTAGTCACGATGTAGCTCACTGTGTTCACGGCACACAGTGGAGGTCCCGCTGTCAGGCACGGAGTCAGCAGTCCAGCTGAGGTGATTTGTGTGTGCAGATAGCTATTGCCGTGAGTGAAGAAAGGAGAGGTCAGAGGAGAGAAAGCCATGTTCTTGGTCTTCAATCATTTGTGTTACTTTGGAGAAAGAAGGAAGAGCTGTTGGGATTGGTATAAAATCCAGAGGTAGATCTTAACTTCCATCTAGTTTGAAAACCAAAATATTGTATATTCTCATCTATCAAAAAATATAAACCCAAACTGTCCTATTAATCAGTTTTGAAACTGTCTTATTACTATTTGTTGCTCAATAAAATAAAATTTTTTTCAAAAACATGCCTATTTTTAAAATATATTCTAATTTTTAAATGTTTTTTCATCATATTCTGTAGGGACTTAAAGTTCTACATATCAATACTTAATGAAAAATACCTGTTCCATGTTATGCCTAAAATGTTTAATATTCAGACGGATAGTGAGATTAAGCTTAACAGCCTAGGTTGTATGGTAATAACAA